CAACCGAGATCGATTGAGATGTCATCGAAAAAAATTTCGCACATTTTTCCCAAGGCAGAGTTTTGTTTTTTTGTCGGGTCGCTGTTTCCAACACACGACTCCTAAAGACAAGACTCTACCTTCCAAAGGCTCAGATCTCTAGCTGTATGTGAGTGTGTGTCTTACTCTCCTTGGCAGCTCGGGAATCCCGCATTCGCTGTGGTACATTCATCTGTCATGTCTTTATTTCTTTTACAATGTTTGCAATGACGATGGTGTGTATGCCATACAATGTATACGCAATTCGCACATTCCAATGAATTTGTCATGCGGATCAAATGCCGAGAGAGAGAGAGAGAATCATTCCATTGCACTTGCGTGTCAATCGCAAATAGTAGTGTGTATTTCAATTTAATCGGCGGTTATGACAAGACCTCAAGAGAAACGCCGCCCAATTACACAAATGGCAATCACTTTTTTTCTACTTCTCTCTCTCTCTCTCTCTCTCTCTCTCTCTCTCTGATTGCCCGTCGAACGTAACAAGAACACAGAAAAAATTATAAACATGGAAAAAAAGAAAAAGAAGAGGAAGGTAAAAAAGAGGTATAAAATGTCGACGTCATAAAACAATAAACAAACTCAATAGTACTCAAAAAGCTTATTGATGAAACCTTTCATTGGAAAACACTTTATGGCCCCATCGCCGTTGTTGTTGTCGTCGTCGTAGTCGTTGACGCTCGTCGTCCGTACGTACAAATTTCGATTCAATATTTGCTGACTTATACTTGCTCTTATGCCATTATTGGTTCGACATCGTGTGCATTGATATGTACACGGAACGGGGCACACATAAAACACATGCCGAAAACAACGACAACAACTACGACGACAACGAAACCAGTCTCTCTGTGTGCCAACTAGCCCAAGTCAATCGGCGTAGATTTTTTTCCGTTTTACATTTTTTGTTTTGCAGTTTGTGTGTGTGTTTTTTCGTCGATGATTTTTTTTTTCCCTCTTCTGCAATAAAACATTAAATATGGGAGGAAAATATGCATATTCGTTGTGTATAAATCAACAGCAGCGAAAAAGAGAAAGAACTTTGGGTTTCTCTGTGCCGCATACCAGAAGAGAGAAATAAAACATATGCAGAAGCACACTCAGTTTTGCCAATGAATGCGTTCGATTTGTGGGTCGAAACTCATTTGACTTTGGCCATTCGAATTGCTCTTTCGTCGAGATAAAAAATTGTGTTTGAATCCATTTGGCTGCGATGCCTCTGAAAATGTTGTTTTTTCTCGCTTTTCGTCGCCGTCGTTACGAAGACAACCAATTTCGAGAATGAATCCAACCCAATCTGGGTTCGTTGTGAGTTTCTCATTTTCTATATATGTGTATGTGTGTGATGCCTTTTTGCATTGACCACGATAATGAATCCAGTTTTGATTTATTGCAATATAATCGGAGTTGAACAAAACGGCTCCTTTGTAATTGATACACCGCGATTAGCAAAGACGTTGTTGTGTTGTTGTTACTGCTTTTTTTTTCGCCAACTTCTTTGCACTTCTGCGAAGAAAAAAAAAACACCGAACAGCTTGTTGGATTCATGCAATCGTTCTGTTGTTTTTTTTTTTTCGTTATTTGCGATAAATTTACTCTCTTTCGCGTAAGCTCTGCGGATCATGTGAATTATGTTTTCTTTCAACTTCGTCGCGTTGAATTTTTTCTGCTTCTAACGAACAACGATAGTCAACAAAGCGAGAGAGCGCGGAAAAAAAAGCCCCAACTAAGACTAATCATAAGATATGCCTGGTTGTAAATAGAAGACGACCGATTGCGATCGATTTTGAAAATAAACGTGTGGTGTCGGCGGCGGCGGCGGCGGTGGCAGCACAGGAAAATTGAGAAAATGTTACGATACACAAACATTTACACACGGAGCAACCAAACGAAATAAATTCGAGAGAACAAAAGAAATAAACGAGATGAGATGCGAAAGAGAGGGAAGAGTACCACACACACAATTGGGAACAAGAGCAAGACAGGGCGAGAGAGTAAGAGCAAGGGAGACAGACACGAAGAGAGAGGGAGAGAGAGAGAACGATTCCAGAAGAACCTGAGACTGTTCACATAATAAATTATATTCACACTTTGTTAGCTGTTCATAAATGCGTTTTTAAGTTTATTTAACACTCATAATGCCATAAGAAGTGGAATGATGATTGCAGATCGTTTACAGTGATGGCATAAAAACAACCTACGCAAATTTTTGGTCCGTCGTCGTCGTCGTCGTCGTCGTCGTCGTTGTTGTTGTTATTTTTTTGCCCCGTTCTGCATTCTCGTAATATTTTCACATGAATTATTGTGAAATGTCTAACGTGTACCAAACATACTGTACATACGGACAATATTTCTTTCATCGTTTCGACTTTCCTATTTCCATGGTATTTGCTGTGTGTGTGTGTGTGTGTGTGTTGTTGTTTCTCCTCTCTGAACCGTTTCTTTTGTTCACAAACCTGGTGTAGTCAAGTGAAACAATTAACACAGAAAGAAATACGCAAAAACCGATCGAAACACGGACTTTTTTTTATTTCTCGCAAAGCATGAAGCTTTGGGTGAACTGTTTCCAGTGCATCAGAAAAAAAATGCTGTTTTTTCTGCATTTTTCTCTATCGTTTGGGCCGCGCGTTCTTCTGATATGACCTCTATCCACGTATCTAGAATCTTGTATCGTAACTCACCGCGAAACAGACGGAGCCAATCGGTGGAAATGTGTGTTCGCGACGGCGGCTCTCGCACACAAAACATTTTCAAGTGGCCACAAATTTTTCCTTGCAGACCTTCTCACACTTGTTCACCTCCATCGCGAACACACGTTCGCGCAGAAGAATGAAAATCACACTGGCACGGAAGAAAAAAAGAATTCGTTGCAGCTATATATATATATATGGCCGCATAAGTCCATAAATTACTTGTTTTTCATTTCACTTTAATTTGACGGCGCGAAAAAAAAAGACCAACGTAACATGCGAACCAAAAACGAATCATACCAATTCAAATGGTCTGAAATAGCTTATTCTTGGCTCTTGCTTGCTATTCCTGATTTTCGCTCTCCCACTCTCACTCGCGCTCTCTTGCTCTATGACTCCCTTGGCTGAAAATAAATGTTAAAATGCTCTGGTGTTGTCGAATACAATTCTAAACGCAACATTGAAAACACGATCAAAACCAATAAATTGCATGTGCGTACATTGTAATTGGCAGTTAAGAGATTCTAACCTTGCTCGTGGTCGTCGGTAGAAATGAGCTGGAAAAAAATCATCAAGATCTCAAAAACTAGAACGAACGTTGAAAAACAACAGCGCCGCTTCGATGACATGCTCGATAACTGCCCTGAACTCATTTTGGTCCGTGAATTTGAATCACTGTTCACTGAACAAGCGCTGCTTTTGACGACCTCAAATGGGAACATCGTTTCAACGAACCAACGAAAAAGTACACTTTTTTTTTTACTTCAAGTTTGTTTATTGATTAATAGAAGATTTGAAACAACAGCAAACTCTTCCATTTTTTTTTTGTCTGTTGTTTGTCTCTACGGTGGTTGTTCCTGTTTGAAAAAATTACGTGTATAGCACAAAATTTAAACAATAACAAACGAAATAGACGAAAAAAAAACACTGTCTAAATTCGGCATTGTTGATGTACGTTTATCGATGCTCATTTATATTATGTATGTGTGTGATAAGTGTGAATTTGGTATATTTTTGACGAGTCGCTGCTTTTTCCCCGTATGCAAGTTGGCTCTTCTTCTTATTATTTATTATTAATTAGCACTTGTACACCAAAAATACATAAAACCAAATTAATAATTCAACGAGAATTCCCTTTCACGTTTCTATTCTCACCACATAGTTTCTCTTCTTCTGTCGAAGAGCAGCAAAAACCGAATCTTTTTCCCCGTCTACTGTTTCGTTTCTTCGGTTACATTTTAATGGTCTATCATATTTCGATGAAGTAATTCTTTTAAATCAAATGATTCTTTTTGTCACCGAATCAAAACTCACAAATTAATGGTGATGCGTACAATGCCACAATTTGATTGATGTTAAAACAAAATCATATCTCAGGCGCATCACATCTGATGCGGATCTTCAAAAGCAACAACAACAACAACAACAACAACAGCCGAAAAAAAATATCACGTCGCTTCATTAATCACATTTACGTTTTACGAATTATTACACCTTTCGCACTCGAAATTCTTTTCTAAACAACGAACAAAAAATAATAAAAACAAAAAGCCGAAGAATTCATCTCGGTGATTTATTCAAATCAACTTCGATGCATGCTCTGTGCTTTTGTGCGCGCTCGATTCGAAGAACAACAAATGTAATCTACCGCACAGTGCTAAATCAAACAAAAAAGAAGAAGACGACGGAGGAAAAAAAGTAACAAGATTTATGCAGGAATGTGTTTGTTTATCTTAAAAGATTGTGCTAACATCATCCGCCAACCAAACCAAACACTCATTTATTCAATTGACTTGTACACGATTTTCGTTTTGCGCTTTTTTTTCTTCCTTCGTTTTGGATAACTTTCGCATCAAAATCTATATAATAAAATGGGTTCGAACTACTTTTGGGTTATGATTTCAATGTTGTGATTTTTCTTTGACATGATGAATTCGAAAAAAAAGTGTCTCATTTCAACACACTTCTTGAGCAATTGAATTATGAATGAGAAATAGAAAATGTGTAAAAAATAACATTACGTTTCGTAGCTTTTGAACGATTTCATCACTATTTCCACAAGTCAATCGCGCGCGATTATCAATACCGTTTGATTTGCACATTTTTTACACATTTCAACATTTTCATTTCAATTTATGGTCTGAATTCAGTTTAGTTTTGTCGATACCGTTCAGTTTCAACTTCTATTTTTAGTTTCTCTTCCTCTTTCAATTGCATTCAATTCATTTATTTTCAATTTCTAATCGTTCGTCTCTTTTTTTTTTTCTTTTGCAGAAACAATTTCGATATCGGATCAAATATCGAAAGGTATAATTTTTGCTCCGCTAAAACTAACCCTCTTCATCGAAGAAGTCAAGATGTATTTATGCTTCAACAAAAGATGGCGTCTTGTTCCGTCGGTGAGTACCAAACGAAATTGATCGGTGCTACTTTTATTTTATCTGTTCCTTTTTCAAGTGTAATAATAAGACGATATCTTTCAAGTTGTGTGTGTGTGTGTGCTATCCAGTTAATTGTCTTTTATGTCACCTCCGAAGCGCTTGATTTTCGTCGAAAATGAAATGCTTCACTTTTGCGAAATTGCACAATTATCTAAAAATAAAATCTCTTTGAATGTGTGTGTTTTTTTGTGAGAAAAAAAATCCATAGTTAGTTAAAAACTTTGTTAAATTTCGTTGTTTTAAAAAGCATCAACTAACTAGATAAAACTATCATGATAAAACAAAGCAACAGCAAGCAATCGAGAACAAAAAAAAAACAAGACAAAGACATCCCGCCATGAAAACTATGAAATAACTTCATTTTCCACGTTTCTTCTCTCGCATTCATTTGCGTGTTATACCTTGCGTGTACAACATCAACAACATCCATGTTTCGAATCATGGTAGAGAATATCGCCCAGGATTCTACTCGGGCTTCTCTGTTCGCACACCGTTCGTGCATTGTTTCTCGAATAGTTGTGCGAATAGCTATTTGTTCCAGGCAACAATGACAACGACGCAACAATTCGGAAGGGAGATAAACACACAACTTTTGCAAAGTGTCGCAACAAACTTACGCAAATGTATGCAATTGATTTTTGTGTAACGACAATTTCTATTTCACGTGCACATTGAAACCTGCTTTTGACTCTCTTCCCTTGCTCGCACACACACACACACAAACACACATACACACAAATGTTGTTATCTCTATTCTAGCGTCAGTTTATGTGAGGGTGTGCAAAGGCATAGATAAAATAGATTTTTCTTGGAATTCATGCTGTTTACCCATCAAATAGTGCACAAATAGCAACTATCTCTCTACCTAAAATGAGACACTGACACAGACATTGAGAGCAGCGCGCACACACACACACAACTCATCCGAGAACAACGAGACATTATTTGAAATTGTTACATTTCGAAATTTTCTCTATCGTTTCCTTTTGTTTTAAAAAAAATCGATCTCACACACAATGGTGAAGAACTTGAAGAGGCAACAATTTTTTTTTTCGTTTTGTTTTCCTAAATTGATACAATAACGATGAAGTAATCTTATTCGCATGCAATCTATTGGTTTATTCTTGTTTTTTTCCTCATTTTTATTTGTTTTTTTTCTTCTCTCTCTTCTTGTTTCTTTCTCGGTTTTTCAATCGCAGAAAAAGCTTCACGAATACTGCTATTTTTCCGAACACATGGAAGAAGGTTATCATCGCTTCAAATCGGTAACCGATGACACTAAACACATCGGATTCACGGCAACTGGTCGTCAAATGGCATTTCGTAATCGTACTATACATAATGAGAATTGCTACAGTTTTACCAAAATAACACCGAAACAATTGAAAGCGTCAAAAGCGGCGGCGGCGGAAACGACGGCCACCGTCAGTTCAACAGCATTCGCCAAACCAAAGGTAGCACACACCTCATTGAATGGTATGTCGACGGGTGAAACACAGCATCGTCATCATCAAAATCATCACCTACATCGGCAACAGCAGCCACAGCAGCGGCATAAACAGCACCACCAACATCAGCAACAGCAGCAGCAGCACAAGAAGCAGCCGCATCAAAGTCATCACAAATCAGCACGGAAAACGCCATCAATACCAAAACTTCAAAGTTATAACAATAACAATAGAAATGCAACTAATAGAAACTTAATTAACAATAACAGAGTGGCCAGCAGTAATTTGAGCACTCTGACGCCGCGCACTAACAGTAAGAACATCAACAACAACAACAATAACAGCAGCAACCGTAGTAGCTTTAGAGATATATCGAGTAGTAATACAAGCGTGACCACATCTGATGGTTTGGCTTCAAGTAATTCTAATGGATACAATATTAGTGATAGATACGGGAACAGAAGTAGCATCAGCGAACGCATAAGCAACTCTAGTATTATTAGTAGCGTGAATAGAACTAATAAGAATAAGACGCAAATAAATTTAAGCCATAAACATCATCTTCGACATCGTCATTCGCAAACAAAACCGCAAACAAAACATCAATTACCATTTCATGTTCAATCGCAACAGCAATCATCATCGTCGTCCACAGTCAAAAATTTTCACAACTTTCAAAGTGATCAAAGTGAACAGCAGCGACAGCAACAGCAACAGCAACAGCATCCGCAGCAACAACACAAGCCGGACATCTTTGAGCAAGAGCAAGAACAAGAGCAGCGAAATCGAAACGAACGAAAAGTGGTCTCATTTCACGATAATATTGACAGTGTTCGTCGTAGTCATATTAATCACCGTAGTCCTCACAACAGTCATAGTTTTCATTATTTGCAAAAGAATGTGGATTTGGTGGTGCCAAACGAAACGGCCGCGGCAGTTGCCAACGATCGACAACGTCTAACTATGGCGGCGTCATCAGCAGCCAAGCCAAGCGCTTTGGATGTGCCGCACAAAAAGGACTTTCGTACCAAAAAGAAATCACATCTCGATAAGCATTCGCTGGTGGGTGGCACACCACCGAAATTGAACGATCCATATCTGCATCATCGGCATCGTCATCATCATGGTGACCATCAACCGCCGAAAACAATTGACCAACAGTCACTAACATTGCCACATTATCTCGATAAAATGGCATCGACCAAAAAGACCAAACGCATTCACCACCACCAGCAACAACATCACAATCGACCACAAGAGGAGGATATCGTTTAATCCTCCACATTCAGTTAAACTGAGCAGAAAATCCGAGGCGATTAATACGCTCCTTCCTCTCGTCTTTTTGTGGTTTTTGTCTCTTTTTCGATCGATGCTCGCTTCGTTTTCGGCTCAATCCCACCAAAAAAAATAAAAAAAAAAATAAAGAAGACAAAACAAAAACATTTGCATTTTTTGCAAAGAACCTTTTTATTTTGACCGTAAAGAAAACTTAAACGAAAAGCAAACAAAACTGATGATAAGAGAAAAGCTCGTTCGAAATCAATGTCCATCTAAGTTTAACTTATATAAATCGTTCTTTTTTTCGCTGTAAAATTAAAAGAGAAAAAGAAAATAACACACACAAAAAAAAACACACACACACACACCTAGTTACACTCTCTCGCTGGTTAGTCTAGTTTTTAGGTAGTACTGCTCACTCACTCTTTATTTATTAGTTACTACATAAAATATGACAATGTCCATTTCAATATATTTCCAGTGTATGTAAACATTTTATTTTTTTGCGCTTAAGATTTTTAATAATTTCGATTTCAACAATATTTTTTTTTTATTTATTTTACCACAAATGTATTTCGACTGCGTTTTTTGTTGTTGTTCTTTCGTTTGTCTCTAAAAAAAAAAAAAAACGAACTAAATACTTATTTTTTTGAACAAATGATTGAAATTGTATGCATCATCGATGTGCATCGCGAACAGTATTTCAATTTTAATTACTTTTTGCACCGATTCAAAGAGATAATTAAAACAAATAACAAAAAATATGTGTATAAATTTTTTTTTTTTCGATAACAATTTCTGCTCGAAAATTTGACCATTGTATGCAAGAATATTCAATGTTTCGAATATTCTTTTTTACAACACACAAACACAGACACGATCCAAACGCCATTATATAAAAGAAAAACAAAAACGACATCGATTTGCAGTACAATTCTTTTTAGCATATATTTACACCAAAGATTTACATTCGTTACCCATTCTGTTGTTTCAATAAATGAGAAAACTAAAAAAATGAATAAACAGTGTCTGAAATAGTTGGGCTGTCACGTTGGTTGGAATCGCATTTTGGCCATGCTGGGAGGTGATCAAATGGAAGGAAAGGCGAAAAGGAGAGACACAATAGGTGATTCATCTAATAGGTGAATCAAGAGGCAATTTAGATCCAACAATTGTCCAAAACTATAAATCGCGAATCTTTCTACCCAAATAAAGTTGAAGAATTAGAATTTCAATTGAATAGACTCTTATCATTCGCGTGCAGATCACCTGGTCTGTTGTCACATCAATACCTTCCAATGAGCCTCCCTTTGTATAACCATTGCACCGAGCCTCCTCCTAAAATCTGCCATTGATTCGCAATGGACTTACATCACAACGCGCGATTTCAAAACCAAATATTGTTGTACCAGAAAACACTATGGCACCTGCTATTCACCATCTCTCCATTCATTTTCGTATACCGATCCCATAACCCCTTCGATTGCTTCAATTTCGATGATATAAATTGATTCTGGTCAAAAATCAATTTGAAATTGAAAGACAAAAAAAAACAATTGATCAGGAAAACCAAAATTCTTAGCAAGAAAATTGAGCACAAACGGATGAATCATCTTGGTTACATTTTGTTTGAAGAAATTCCTCATTTTCACCGCCTCAGAGCTCTAGATAGGATGTGAGTGGTACACAGTATTAGAATTTATAAAAGCGCATTCAAGCTTCATCATATTTTCTTTTTCGTCATTCATATTCACAATCCATATTAACTGAACATCTTTCAACTCATGAACGTTTCGATATCAATAACGAAGTATGATTTAAAAGGATTTTCGATTAAATAATTTTGTTCTTTGCAAAAAGTCATATTTTTTTTTAAAAGTAATTTGTCACTTTTTCGGAAATGAACACAAAAAGAAAAAAGGTGAAAACTCATGAGTTGAGCACATTTGCCTGTTCTTGACTATCAATTGCTATTGCGTATTTGAGCGAAATGTGAATCTTAATTTCATTTAATTCGAAAATCCATTTTAACTGTCTACTTTGTTGGGTATTCATTATTCAATCGTTGAATGCACCGAATCTCACGAAAGGCGAATATTTTGATAATGAATTTTTTTTTTATTTCACGAAACAAACAAAAACCGAAACAAAACCAAGAAACTAGAGCAATTTTGCAGCTGAAATAGAGCACAACACACAAACACACTAGAGATTTGCGTGGACCATGAAGAATATAGTTTCTTAACAACATCCTTTAGAAATAATGAATTAACTATTGTATCAGTCGATAAAAGGAGAATCAGGTTCCTTTTGTACTTAATAGAAAAATATAAATAAAAACACAACAAGCAGAGAAAAATACAGTAAAAAAGAAGAAGAAAAAGAAGACGGCGACGACGAAAAGTATGGTTTTACATACGTTTTACGCGATTGAAACTCAATAATGAAAAACACAAAATAGCAGATATGTTCGCGCGAACCACGTTTCGAAAGCAGTTTATCAACATACACATACACACACACAGCACTTTATATAATTTGCTGTGAAATCATTATTGTTTTCTATTTCTCTCTAATTGAAAGAACTGAATACACAATAAATGACAATTTTTCCCGTTTTGAAAAAAAAAAAAAAGAAAAATCGCTGAACAAAATCAACGATTCATCGTTTAACAATCAAATTTGACTCGAATACTTCGATGGTATTTTTTGAATGAATTTTTTTTTTCAATCGAAAATGACTGACTGTTTTTCACTTCGTCTTTCGTCACATAATATCATATTATTACTATGTAATATGCAGATGGATTCTCAAAAAATATTTCTTGTTTTTTTTTCTGTTGTAATAATCAATGTTTAGCTCAGTTTGATTCTTCCTATTTAACGAAACAAAAACAAATGCTTTTTTCTTCATGCATTCATCACTTAATGAACACTTTCACTGTTTTTTTTTTTCATTCTGAATCAGCCGCCGACCAACACCGTTTAAACAACAACAAAAAAAACAAATAAAAGAGAAGACAAAAGAGGGAAAAAATCATTGTGCCATATTTATGAATAGGAACTTTTGAGCCAATACTGTTTTTTATAAAACTAATTTTTTTCGCACTGAATTGAGACGCATAGAAAAAGGAAAGAAAAAACTGAGAAACAGAATTTAACACGAAAAAAAAAATACGAAAGAACGGCCAAGCATGCGACTCGATTCAGAGAGCTGCCCTCACAAAATTATGAGCGAGAAAAACAAGAAACATACACAAACGTTTTAGTCAAGCAAATTAAAAACTAAACGAAGAAAACACACGCTTTGAAAGTTTAAGACAAAAAAACAACAACCTAATAATAATAAACCGAACGAAACGAAATGAAAACGTAAAGGAAATGGAAAAGAAGAAAAAAACATGAGCATAGAATAGATGTAAAACAGCAACAAAAAACATATTTGTAAAACAATATACCTAGTTCAACGTAGCTGTAATCCATAAATGAAGTACTAATAATAATAATGGAAAAAAAAATGGAGAAAATGAAATAAAAAACGTATGTTAAGCAAAAAGTTGAGAGCACAAATCATAATAACATTGAATAAAATATATCGATATTTCGCAGAATTTTTTCCGTTCTATTTTCTTTTTTGTTTCTTACCAATTGCCTCTTTGCCCTTTTCTCATTTAACGAAATGCGATTCGAGTTGATTGACCTGCTGATTAGCAACCGAAATGATTAGGAGTATAGAAAAAAAAATCAACATGATTGGTGGGAAATGGGCATGGATGCATGCCGTGCGGATGTGATCCACGAAATTTGAGTGATCAATTTGACGAAGCCGAACATTTCAAAAAAGGATTTAGAAGCTGGCACATTCCAGACACTAGCTTCTGACTCTTCTAAACACTTTTTGTCGTATAATTCTCTTTGATTGATATCTCTATTTTGAAGATGTCTCGTTTGGAAACATTTTGACTGAGCAACAAATCATTTATATTGGGATATAGTCGACTGGCTTAAATTATCCAATACAAAAACAACGAAAACAGTTAACTGAAAACGCAAGGTGACATCCTAAATTAAGCGATTGGCTACAATTTAATCGTAACCGACTATTTTTCATACAAATCATCTACTCAGTTAACAAAAGTTGCTTATTAGTTAATTTCAGTTACAGTTAGTCAGTCATTTGTTTTGCACACGACATCCTTCCTGGGAATTGTTAAGTTCATGCTTCTCTCTTTCGAAATGTTAGAGAATACAGATAACTTAAGCTCATTGCTGCAAAAAATCCTATACATACTTGTAATGGCTAAGCGTTCATTTTGCTCTCAAATCAAACAACAGTTCAAACAAAATTTTATTGTGGACATCGTTAAAATAAAAGAAGACGTTCCAAAGAACAAAAATCATTTCTTCTCTTGGTTATCAACATGTTTTCTATTTGATCAGCTTCTACAGTTTTTGACTATCAATGGCCAATTCTCTACTGCCAGCTAATTTTAAATTTGCATTTTTTCATGCATGTGCTCATATCAGATCTTTTTATTTTTGATCGCAGCCTCTCTGATCGTCTGTACAAACAGATAGGAAACGTCAAGCAAGAAAAAATGAAGCGGCACCTGGAGACTGGTTGGAGAAATAGAGAATCATGCATATAGTTTGCTATAACAAGTACGAGTCTGTGTTAGTTCGAACGTTGAAGTATGACACATTGCACTTAGTCTCCAGGTGGCGCTGTATTGTTCACTACTTTCATGATCAGAAAGGCTGATTAATCGGTACCAATTGCATTCCTTTACTCTTCATATCATTCTTCATTATCTTTACTCAGATTTGGTCTTCAAAACATTGGTTCAGATCATCTGCAAGAGCCTAAGAAGAGATTCAAAGACAACAAAATTTCTGATTCATTTGAAAGAAAAAAAATTGAATAAAAATCAAAATGCGAAAATCTTAAATTCATTTAGAAGGAAGAAAATGTGCAGGAAACACTTAATTTTCAAATTCCATTAATAACATTTTACTTATGTCAGCTCTGCCAAAACTCTGGATTTGAATATAAAAAAAAGGAACGATTTAGTTCGAAGAGTATTAATTTATTTCATTTTAAAATTATGTACTCAAACTTAATTAAATAGCTTTGTAATAGTTATGTGTGTATTGTAGAAAAAAAATAAATCGGTGTGGATTTGGTGAGTTTGATCAAAGACCGGGCGAATGCTAAAAAAGATCGATGCTTGGGCCAGTTTTATGGAAAAAAAATACCATTTTTGATCAAACTGGTGAGTAACACACACAAACAATTATTGTACCAAACCGAAAAAATGTTTAATTAGATTATTTGGAGTGAGTTTCTATGTATGTAAATGTAGGTAAATGCTCAGGCGTATCTATTTCTGAGAAAGAAAAGACAAATGAGACAAAAATTGACCGTATACAATGGAAAGATATAGTAACCAAAACAAGAATATAGTGAATTCATCACAGAAATGTTAATCATGTTATTCAAGGGAATCATTGGACATCGGAATAAATATATCATGCAGATAAAATCCATTAACGGCTGTATGGTCAATTATGGCGTTGCTTTTTTCCTTTTTGGAAACTCCAACCAGTCACCACAATTTTCTATTCGAACTTTACAAGGCGACCAGTAATCACAAGACAACATAAATAATAATATTAATGATAAATGAAAAGAACAGACTAAAAACGCATCTAATAAGAATATGTATATTGTTTATCCATTGAGTGTCACTAATAATAATCAACAGCAAGGCAAGACAAATAACTTAAGTCTAAAGAATGTTAATTTAGGAGTTAAGGCAACAAGCAAAAAATCAACCACTTATTATTAAATAAACATAAAGTACGTAGAGAAAAAAAATACTATATACAATTAAACACACACACACACACACAAAAAGAACAAAGAAAAGCATTTTCATTTCATTTCATTGCATGTTCAAATTGCGATATCATTTGAAGCGTCAACAATTTGAATGCAATATGAATCGTTAGGTAATTTTTTGGAATGGCAATCAATACTTTTCAAGATTCGCAAGTGACAAGCGAAATTGGCTTCAAAATTGAGTCACATCTTCTTGATCAAATCAGGTGAAGTTTGCTACTGAAATAGTGATCGTAATACAATTTTTGTGCTGAATAGTAATCGAAACTTGATCAAAGTACAGTTTATTCTTTATTGAGGTAAGTAATACAAATGGTAATGCTCTTATGCATAATAACAAGACAACAAATGTCTTCTTTATATGGATATGAAGGGAAAATTGTAAGCAATTTCATCCTCAATTTCGTATTTTAATTGCACTTTATCCTGCATCGTCTTCTGATAGGAATTCCATCCGCTGCGATTTCGAAAGGATTGAATCATGGTCAAAACATGAGAATTTCAAAAGGGTTTGAATCAAATTTCTACTCGCACAAACGTGTGCATTTTGTTCGTCCGTGTGCACTTTGTTACGATCGTTGGATGCAAATGTTAAAAGTGAGATCTCTTTAATGTAATCGAAGCCAACGTATTTGGGCGAAACGAATGTACATTCTTTCTTTTTTGCTCTCTTCTTCTTCTTTTTCTTCATCTGTATGACGCATACCAGCCATGTGTTTTGCATTCATTTCGGAAATTCATGCGGCATGCTACAAAGTGGTGGGTAAAATGTGGAGAAGAAGTTCCATGATTTTTGTGTATATGTGCAGTTGAAAACCTTTTAAATTATGCCCGATTCGCCCATTCAGTGATAAATTTGTAAGTTGTGCTAAACGTTCGGATCATCACCTCCCACTGTGTATTGAACATCGAATGCGATTAGCATACCGATAACCAACATCACATAGAATGGACTGTGCAATCGTCGGTTCAATTTTGGACGGTTTGCGCCGCTGCCGTCACAGCAGCAGCGGCGACTTCATCATTAATAAATTATCATACGTGAAAATTATCCGGAACGCTATTTTATCAATTTTAAATTATTAGTTTTTAATACCATGACGATTTTTTTGTTTTGTTCAGCGCATTTTGTTAACAAGATCGAATCGATTCCATTGCATGCTCGCTTTTTTCGGTGCATATCAGTTACACTACCGATTCGTTTTTTGTTGCTGTTGCGTCAAACAGAAAAGTCGAGACTCTTAACTCGATTGCAAGCAGATAGAGCAAGTGAAAAAGGGAGAAAGAGAAGACAATTTTGCAACACATTTCATAATATGAAGTGTGCATAAAATTCATAATAATTGATGTTAATTTGATCACATGTGATTTCGGGATAATAACAAAACTGGCAAAATAAAGACGACGATGGTGAGATTATCCGCCGATTGAGGAACAGAGACAGAGCAGGAGAGAGAGGAAATGAGAAAGAAAGAGATTATCGTACCAGGTGAGTGCCATTCAGGGAAAGTACCCGATTGAGATCGTAAAATTCTCTGTCAGAATAATGGTGGCGAGATGCGTCTGCGAGCGCTGTTCACAATTTTCAGTTGTTATTATTATATAGATACATGTTTATAACTTCAATCATTCCATCAACGTATAATTAATTACCTGACTACAATTAGTGTGTGTGTGCGTTGTGTGCAGCGACGAACGTTTGTGCAGAGTGAATTAGCGCGAGCAATAAATCACTTAAATTTAAATTTTAAATCATCGTAACAAAAAGTGCATCGCACCGAATCAAGCAATTTACAAGGCATCCAAACACCGATGGAATGTACCTTGTTGGAAATTTTAGGTGAGGGCAAAAGTCTGGAGAGCGAGCAAACGGAAGGAATGCAAGAAATGTGTGTGTGTGTGTGTGTGTGTGTGAGCGCGCAAGTGCATCATATCTCAAAGAATATTCAGAAATTAATTGGCATAAATTGATGTGATTCAGCCGCAGGCATTGGCGATTAATATTGGCTGGTGCGTCGGATACATGCATTGTACACATACACCACAAAGGTAAAATCAACACAAATAACTTTGAAGCGAGAGAGCAGAAGAAAAAAAAAGAAAATAAAAAGGGGAAAAGATCGAATCTCATTGCATTGTGGTAGCAAGTGCGGTGAATAAGGTCACGTTAAGCTAATGTGACATGATTGTTGCCGCCAGGACCACACAAATTTTTTCTCTTAGCCACAACCATTTTGACGATGCCTTGTGCTTGCTCCTTGTTATTTCTCGCCATAGAAAACGCTTCTGTTTCGGGGCCTTTTTCTTACTCTCTCTCTCTCTCTCTCTCTCACACACACTCTCGCCGATGAGGAGACTACAAAAGGAATTATTCATAAAAAGAGTTGAAAAATCACGAGAAAAAATAACATCGCAACTAATGTATATGTTACACATAGACAAGTGAATGGCTGGTGAAACTAAATCAACGACCACTTAAAATGTGTACATTGAATCGATATTTCAAAGCTGTAACAACAAAAAACGCAGAGAGAGAGAGAGAGAGAGAGAAATGAGAGATGTAAAATATGTCGCCCGTTTAGGTTAGTAGCAATTTGCCATTTAGAAAATTCTGAACACATCTCTCTTTCCACGGTATCTTCTCTTGTTCGGTGCGTGCGGTTGTTGCTTCTTTTTCTTCGGCTGCGTATTTCATTGTTGCCATTTTACATGTGTCGCTTCATGTGCGGCCACACTCCATCAAAATACGTAATTTCAGTCTTGTTCGAGCGAACCACTGAGAGCGACAAGACAACAAAACACTTTGCATAATCTCTTACAAGAATTTGCGATTGATTTTCTCCATTAGTCGTAATTATGCTCGCCATCGACTACATATTAAAATGGTCCATTCCACCAATGAAAACAACACATAAGAAACAAGCGAAACATTCGACCCAAAACACAACCAATGCCGATATGCGATTTTTCCCGTTTCCAGGACGATAATTACAACGTGGTTTTATCTTCGGTCTCTTTCATCGAACACACATAACAAGAAAGTGATCACCATGAAATGGTGAGTGACACCTTATTAAGCCGTATTTTTTTTTCGTTTTAGTTTTGATTTGTTTTCGTTGTGGAAATGCATTTTTTTTTTGGATAAAAATTTGTTGGTGCTATTCTTGACATGGAGTCAATGAACTTGTGTTGACTTTGTTGCAAGACTCACGAGGATTTAACCTTTTTCCAAAATTGCGAATCGTTGAACTATGGTGATTCCTTTAAATCAAACTAAACAATTATTTGTTTTGTCGATGTGCAATGTGTGTTATTTTCAGTAATGGGAGAAAATTCATTAGACGCAACTGACAAATTTGATGTAGTGAACAATACCTCGGTGATGCATACAGCATTATCTTTTTTCATTGCCGAAAGTATGCAGAGATTGATGGCTCCCAAAATGTGTGTGCATCCCATCCATATTCATTTGTTTGAACGGGACTGCTTCTTCTTTTTCACATGACTATTTTTCTATAACTTTATTAAGGCGAAAGGTAGAAATAAAAGACGTTTTGATTGAGAAGAATGTAAATTACACATCTTTATTTCACATCGATATCAATGTCAACATTATAATTTAATATTCTTGATTTCATCGTTCAATTTCTTGTTGTTTGATTTTTGCATTCAATCAAATATTGAGGCTCGTTGTCAATCAGTTCGAACGTCCATTTGTCTTCCATACGATCCTTTAGGTCATTCATTTTTTCAGGACTTTCGGCAAAACCATACCGATACAATTGAAGTTTCTTCAAGTGTTTGCTCTGCTCTAAATATCGAACCAGTGTTTCCACTTCTACATCGTGACCACAGCTAAATGATGCGTCAACCAAGTTTGGTGCTCGTTCCCTAAGTAAAATCAGTTCATTGTCGGTAATTTTAAATGATCGTGCAATTGCGAGTTTTTTCAAATTCCGATGTCGCCTAATAAAATCTATCCAAATTGGAAATTCATCTAGATTGAAGGAAAATTCTTCGAGGTTGCCGAAAGTGAAGTTAAAACGGCTAACGATATCACCGAAGAATGAAAACTTTTTAACATTTCCAAAGTGAATCTCGTTCGTATAGTCGACCTTTATGATGTTATGAAGTCTCAAAACATCTAAATTCATCAAGTGTTCGCTTGCAAATTTAACATAGCTGGTTTCAGTGTAACCGACACCGAACTCCTTAATTTGGGGATTTTTTTTAATCAAATTCTTCAATTCGGCGTTATTATGACTTCCCAGATACAACAATTCTATGTGTAAGTTTCTCAAATGGGGAAGGTTAATGTTGGCGCTATCATTGTCTTTCAGCTCGACCCTTATCAAAGTCAAATTTCGTACATTGGGAAACATTTCATTTAGATTCAATGTTTTACTTCCCAATTTATTGTATTTGCCTTTAAAGATCAAATCGCCTACTGTGTGAAATACCCGTTGGACATCATCCAAAACATTCCAGTCGTAGCTAGCGATAGTTAGTTTTGTCAAATTGGAACACTTTTTCTCCATAAGAGTGATAATCTGCTTCATTCGATCGTTATTATCCGAAAATAATGCGTAATAAACGTCATAGTCGATTTCAAGATCCAAAATATGTGATCCAAAATGTTGGAGCATTTGCACAGCCAGATCGTGATGTTGAATCAAAATCCATTGGTCATATACCCGCACATCATTTTCATCATATGAACACCATATTTCAATTGTTCTATTTGCGAACTTTCGTCCGAAGACATCAGCTGCCGCCAGTGAAAATTCTTCGCTAATGCCAGCCACGTAGATTAACTTACGAAAATCCAATTGTTCCAAGTCTATAAAGAACTTCGTTCCATTTGACTGTAATTCAAAAGTCGAAAAAATACAGTTGAATCAATTCGATTTTTCTGAGTTTCAAGGTTCGATTTATTAGCTTTTACTACTTACATTCGATGATTGTATTTGCGCTGCACAAGGACTGAA